CCAAAAAACGAACCCTTTCGTATAGCTTCCTCTGTGAATATCGGTACTGGCGTATTTCTGTTGCTGCTGCTGTTCCGCAGCAAGCGACTCATTATCTTCTCCGGTCCAGGCCTGTGGTGACGAAAGTCGTTTCAGAATGCTCAGCAACTTGCTGTCCTCATCAACGTGAGCCTCAGCTGATTCGGGATTCAGGCAGGTTCGTACCAGGAATGCTTCAATACACGGGCGCAAAGCCACAATTCGAGCTGCTGTTCGCACATTCATTTTCAGAGGAATCCTGCAGAAAAAAATGCATTAATTTCTAATCGACGGTGCAAAAATTGATAATAGAAAGGTATTTTGAAACGGGAAGGAGAATAGAAGGGAAAATAATATTAAGAAACTAGTAAAAGTAGTTGAATAATTTTGATAAAGTTATTATAAAGGTAAGAAATGTTTCGATCCATTAAATCGTATACATTTCTTACCATTACCGCAATTAGACCTCGTCAATTTTGATGAATTAGCAAAATGCGTCGTCGGTTTTGTGAGTTCATCAGCCAGTATGTGTTCTAATCCCTCAACGATTCGTTGATTCATTTCAATGGTAATTTGCTAATGAGTTATTTCACGAAGCTTAAGCACGCTTCAGCGCAACTTTTATGATAGCTAATCTATCAAAAAAAGGAGTAATATTACTCAGTCATTTCAAGGAAGAAAGGTCTGCTTCAGTAAATCTGACAATAATGTGCCGATATGAATGTGAAAAAGCTAGAGGAACTTATATACGCAAAAAAAAGCCGACTATTTTGGTACACCAATGAGGCATGCGTGATGATTTGAACGTACAAAGATTTCAGAAAACTAATACATGTGGAGGACTTGAACAAAAACTTATCCGTTCCAAAAAAAACACACAAAAATTATCTGCCAGGAAAAAAAAACCTGAGACTTACATGTCATCCAGTTTTATGAGGTCATTGCCAAGAAATTCCACTTTGCGACTACCGAAAATCAGCAGCTGCAGCGGTGTGATATTCGAAAGCTGCTTGCACGATATCACTTTGGTGCGAAGCTGTAAAGGCATACAGTGTTTAGAAAATATTTTTGACGGGACCTAAGGCAATGGCCCAAGCGATCCGATACTTCATTGAGGCATAAGATTTCCCAGACGGATGATAAACATCCCAACAAAATTTCAGCCACTGTTTTCCTGACAGTTTTTGAATTGGCATACTACAAACTGAGAACTACAAAATTTGTAAATTAATAAAATTATTTTAATGGTAAGAAATGTTTCAGCGCATTGTTTAGTACAGATTTGTTTCCATTACCCCAATTGGACCTCGTCAATGCGATGACTGTGGTAATTAGAATTAGTAGATATAGGTTTAAATCGTGTAATGAATATTAATAGTAAGTTTCATAAAATGTTCTTACTTATATTAAGGGGCATAAGATAAATAACGGACGCTTGTGCATGTGTGAGTATATTTTTTCTAAAAATTAGTGCTCAGAAGTGAAAGAAGGAATGAAAATGATGCCTAAGGGTTCGCTTGTGGTCAACAAAGAAATGGAGGCAGCAGCAGGACACCGCGGATTGCTGCTTGGACTTAAGTAATGCTAAAAGGACCCAGTAAAAATCACCAATGCAATGGAAGAATCCGCCTGAACGGCTATGTGAAATTACGTGGATTAGCAGAAGCTCAAAATCAAGAAAGGAGAAACTGTCAGTTGCATCCAGTGGCAAAAAAATGTGATGATAAAAAAAACTGATTAAAGTATCAATGTAAGATATCCCCTCAATTGCGTAATTTAAAACGATTATCGTACGATTTAATATG